GATGGTATGAAAGGTGATGCTATATCACATACATTTGTACTTTTACAGACACTCCTCAGTTTGTCCTTCCTGAGTACACATTACTTTCGCTTTCTATCAATTTGTATATATCATCAACTTGTTTCTCAAGTGTTTTTGTAAATACGCTTTACACTTGGAATAAATTGTACAGTCTACATATAAATTAGTGTGGTGTATTTTTATCATCTCATCGTACACTTACACTAAAAACTAATACATTCATAATAACATTAGAGCAAATAGAAACATGCAACTTCTAAAAAGTGTGAAAAAAGGAAACTCCCACAGACCAACAGTTTCCAAGATATGGGAACTATATATTCATCCGTAATAATTTTGTATACACAGCAACGGGACATGTGGTGAAGATATGGTTTTAGATATTAATCCCCTTTAATAAAAAAATATAATAAAATGAAACATAAACTTGAATAATTTGCACAATAGGTCAGGTTCATTCCCTCATTACATGTATTTTATTAAAAAGGAAAAACCTTTGTTTGCAATTTGTTGACTTCAAATGCTAGATTGCCTAGCCTAGTGAAGGGTGGGAATGGAGAAGGGGCTTGTTAGGAGTGTTTAGTCTGCACACCCTACAGTAAGTAGTAGGGTCCCTAATGTTCCAAATATGAGATCCGTGAGATTTTAATGCTCAAAGAAAGTTCTTGGCAAATTTAGAATCCTTAAGGCCAGTAGAATACATTCCAATTGGGTGCCATTTTTTCCCGACCATTTTATGGCCACCATTTTGAAATCCAAAATGGCAGCCATTTTGAAACATAAAACTGACAGTAACTCCATTTTTAGACCACATATGAACCTGATTTTGGTGGCAAGCTGTATATTATCATGGTCAATAGATCCGATGATACCATTTGTATTAATGTCATATGGTGGCCATATTGGGTTTCAAGATGGCGGCCATTAAAATCACTTATTTGCTGCAGTTTGTATATTTAATTAACCAAATGTGTATATCTTTTTCATAAGACATTTGTTCAGTATAAATAATAATTAAATACATGTTCTTATTAAAGTGCGACCATTTTAAATGGCAGCCATTTTAAATTCAATATGGCAGCCCCACCCCGATATGCCCCCACCCCAAACAATTGTAAGATGATAATTATATATCCTAATTCCTGTACAGTTGCTTTAAATAAAAGAGTTACTTAATTTCAAATGTACTGTTTATTTACGTCACAACCAACACAAATATTCATTAGACGAATGACACTTAATATCTCTGTTCAAAATTTTCAGCTTGTGTGTTATTAAAGCATGTCATGCTAGCTCGATGCTTGGTCTTATTTTTTTCAATAGAGTAAACTCTCTCAGTCACTACTGCTATGAAATATTACAGTAGTTCCACCGAGTATAATCCCACCCCGACTTCGCGTACAAGAATTTCCCTGGGTAAAGTCCCAGGGTTTGAGGGTGTATTTGGGTGAGTAGGCCTAGGCTAAAGTTGGTAAATTTAACAAATGCTCACAAAAAATAAATGAATTGTCTCCGAATTCTGCCAACTTGAAACTCTTCCAATTGCTTAGAACAGACATCGGTTGCCATAAAGTTGAATGCAGAGCCCATCCTTATAAATTATTTTGTTGTTTACTGTCGCTAAAAATAAACAGCTCGCTAACTGCGGCTAAAAATAGATAACACCACGGTCCGTCCGTGAAAAAACGCGCTCAGTGGGCTGATTGGATTGTTATTTCACAGCGTGAAGACTCGCATGTTAAACTGCTGCAGCTAAAAATAGACAATAGCCACCCAGTTGGCTGATCGGATCATTAATTCACAGCAAGACTCACATGTTCCCACAGAGATTCGCTGCTGAAAATAACTTGTTACATCATTCAAGAAAACAAGTTTAGGCTAAGGCTGGCCTAGCTTATATTTTGATGCTCGAGTAAAGACTGATTTCTTCGCCGACTATTGAATCGTAGGGCAATTGTTGAAATGCATCTGGCACCTCGCAAAACGATCATCATTTTCGTTGTGTTCTTGCACTAAGCCTAGGGAATCCCTGGGTATAATTCCCCCACCCCACCCAAAAAAAAATCGGGCCAATTTCGCGTTCTTAGGGATGGGAATCTACCCAGAAAACTACGGACTAATATTCCCTTGATGACACTGGCAAGTAGTGGATACTTCTTACAGTACAATGTATTTTTTTTTTTAATTCCTTTTTTTTTTTTAAATTCTAAAAATAGAAATAGAAGAGAAAAATAAAGTCCTTGCATAAAGTAGAATAATTACTTTATGCAAGGAGCCACCAACACTTTCTTGACCCCCAGAAACCATGACTCATCGTTACACCACTGGAAGGACCATGCCTAGGAAAATTATAAGGAATGAATCAGCACGTAACACACCAGTAATCTTGTTCATCATAGTCCACAAGTAAGTATTTACACTATGTAGAATCATGGAAGAATAGTAGATTCATCAATAAATAGGAAAACACAACAAATTTGCCTTCACCACCATGAAAGTTGCAAAGTGCTGTATATTGCAAGTTGTTTTCTATGCATTTACCGCAATATCCAAACTTTACAAGTTTAAGAACAGAATTGGTACAAGTTCAGTGCATTTCATTGGAGAAACTGTCTCTTCTGTTATCTCAGATCCTACCTTATATCAGCTTAAATGTACTATTTAACCATGTTTCTGTTGTTAATAAATTACTAAGGCCAGTGATAATGATTAGCTGAAATATATAGAAACACACAAATACAAACTATGAAACATGAGATAAAACTAATTTTTTAAACTGATAAACATATTTAGAAATAATTATATTGTTAGGGAGACTATTCCACAGGGCTAATGTCGATGAGAAAATGATGACTGGTTAGTATGTACTGGTTGGTATAGCTCGAGTTCTACATTTCTGGACTACCAATGAGTTAAAGTGATTATTTCTACTACTACGACAGCCAGGTTCAACTAAGGTGCCAGGAGGTAAAAAATGAAAATTTCTAACAAACCTGAACAGGGTTTCAAGCTTCAGTATTGAACGTCTAGATTTCTTATTCTTATTCTTATTCTTTTATTTCCAATTAAAACAGACAAAACAAGTGGTCGGTCAGGACTTTCAAAGTGGACCTAATCACTATTACATTAAGTATAAAGTCCTCAGCCACCCAGCTTCACAAAAAGACATACCCATAAAAATATATTACAATACAGTATAGGCCTATATAACTTTATTTATTTATTTTTTATTTTATTTAACAAGAAATGAGTCTTTAATTTCATTGGAAATTTCTCCCCACAATCGCGAAAAACATGTATTACAGAGTGATGAAGACAATTAGTTCGAGCATACAGATGCTTGAAGCTTAAAGTTTCTTGTCGTCGAGTATTGACGCATACATTTTCACGAATGCTTTTACAGTCAATGGAACCTATCAGTGTTTTACATACAAATGATATTAAAAGATAAGTTCTTCTACTCGATAAACGAGGCCAGTTCAGTTGTTCTAATCTAAGAACATAATCCATGTCCCCACGTCTCTGCTTTAATGCTAGACGTGTGGCTCTATGCTGTACAGATTCGATTCTATCAGTCAACTTTAAAGTTTGGGGAAGCCAAGCGGGAATGCCATATTCAAGTATAGGAATAATAAGAGCTTGATATAATGCAAATATAGCCGCTGATGAAGTACCTCCGGCAATACTTGCAATATAACCAATCATCCTATTTGCCCTTGCTGTAATATTTTTTACATGGTCATCCCAAGTTAAGGTATGGTTAATAGTGACGCCCAAGTGCGAGTGATTTAGGACAGATTGAATTGGGGAGCCATTCAAGTAGTAAATCGGACGGTACTCCTTTTTAGATCTAGTAATGTGAAGAATACTAGTTTTATTTGAATTTCAAAGTCATAATATTCATTTGTCTACACCTATCAGTATATAATATTCCTGATTTTTACAACAAACTTTAGATGCAAATCTTTGAACAGATTCTATTTGATTAATATGATTACAATATTCAGGATCAAAAAACTTGGCAAGCATATTCTAAATGCGGTCGTATTAAAGCAACGTATAATTTGAGAAGTGTACAAGAATCGTATTCATTAAAAAACTGTCTATACAGATAACCAACAAGTTTTTTTAATTTTTTTACTAATAATATCAATATGAGATTTTCCAACTAAGATCATTAGATATTTCAAATCCGAGATACTTGTAAGTCTCAACCTCGTCAATTAAATAATCGTTAAGTTTAAATGAGTAGTTAGGACGTTTGGACTTTGAAATTAACATGAACTTTAATTTAATTTTAAATTATTTTCAGAAACCCAAGAGGTCACTTTGTTTATGTCATTCTGAAAGGGTTTTTTGGTTGAAGCTTTTAGAGGTGTATAGCAGCCCATGAAATTAGGAAAAAATTAGGTCGGCAAAAATTTGCCGACCTTAAATTCTCCGAGGTTGGCAGCCTCGGAAATTTTTTACTACCTAAAGTAGGCCTATATAGTATAAACTACGATGTTTCCGAACGCTCGACCTTACATCGTCATCTACAGATTGTGATTTTGTTAATTTCTCTATTAAATCACTATATTGCTGGTGAAAGAATGATCGTACTTGTATTAATTTAATAATGTAGTATAATACATATGTTTTTTAACATAAAAAAAATCGCCGAATAAATTTCGTTTAGCGTTCGTTTTATCGTTATCTTTGGCATGGGAAATATCACTTTCGTAAAAAACTACGATCGTATCATCACAGACTGCTTCAAAACTGTCCATGCGCATGCCCAGAATGATCTATCAGGGATTTTCCACACATGTGATGCGATCGTGATTGTGTTTAAACGAACTGTAGGATTAGGCCTACAATATGTTGAATTTTGTTGTTTTTAGATAATAAACAACATTTTAAATATTATAATACTGTAAAATGAAGACAAATAATAGATTTAGATAAGCATTACGATCTACGCGGCCCACGTGGCTTCAATTGTGCAATGTTGTAGGCCTTGGCTGGCTAGCGTCATTCCTACCTAGGCCTAGCCTAAGAAATGAATAGGTGAGAAAGACAAGACGATTGTACACAAATCGTACGTACTGCATGCCTGTTAAAAATAGTTATTGTACAAAGAAATCTGTCTTATGAACCACCAATTTCCTTGATTTGACGACGATGATGGAGCCTTGTGGAAGTCCAGAAAGAGTAGGAACCCACTCAGAATGACATCCATCAATCAACACACGTTGGCAGCGATTGCTAAGGTAACTAGTTACAATGCAAAATAAGGCTGGGTTTATTCCTTTAGATGAAAATGATTAAGAGATTGAAACGGAAATGAGTCAATTATGCTTTTTGAAGATCGAAAAAAATACAGTCATTCATTTACTAAAGTGACTAACGCGGAGACAGTAGATCTACCATGCCTGAAACCACTGAACATCACTAAAACCACCAAGAGTTGTTAGGTTATCAAGTAGATTAGTATATATATCTTTTTCTTAAATTTTGTTAACGATTGGTAGCAGAGAGATAGGTCTATAATTTAAGGGAGATGATCGATCACCATCTTTATAGATGTTCATTAAAAAAATTTGCTCATCTCAGCCCCAAACATGAGCTGAGGTAAATCAAGGGAAAGGAAATCCGACTCCTCGTCGGGAACTTTCTGGCACTGACAATTTTTTTCATTAGGTTCAAAGATTCATTAATAGATATAAAGTCAATGGAACGGATTAAATCTATATCCTATTTAATCTATATCATATTGAATTTATATCATTTTATGTGATTGTGTTTTTATTTTTAACTTTTAAGTTACTTTTGCTGACTCATTGAAGCATGACTGATATCAAGCTTTATACCTTGTTAATTGGAAGGAAGAAATAAAGATTTTATGCTTGCGGACATATTAAAAACAATTTTTTTTTTCTGAAATTTCGAATTTTCATAGTTTTACTTCCAGGAAAAATTGAATAATAGTATTAATTGAAATTATCGGTTGCTGGCAGGTTCATAAAACCAGGCATAATAAAGTTTTGCCTTATCACTTACCTTAGCTGTCACTATTGAATTAACTTCTGGAATAACATTTTGCTGTAGATGTAGTAAAATATGAATACTTGGCTGAAAAAGAAAAGCAAAGTTTCAAGCCTATTAAAATAATATTTAATCTAAAAACTTATTGAAAATTTGTTGTTCGCCCGTATCCTTTCAACAAGCGATCCTCGCCATCTCAAGGAGCAAACTTGGCAGGCTTTTAGCATTGTCAGATCAAGGCTTTAAAACAAAATTCCATTGAACACTAAACATTCTATAGACAGTTCTAAGTCACTACTCAAAATGCAAATATTAAAATTCTGCTCTTATAATGCCTCACTTTGATTATTGTAGTCAAATCTGCCTCTTTCTGACAGAAGGAAGTAATCCACATAATTAACATTTTGTGTTATTTACCATAATTCCAGATAAAATGCTGCCACACGATCAAAGTAATGCGGTATTTTACAACTAGAACTTTGAAAAAATTAAAAAAAACAAAAAACAAAAACAATTTTTAAAGTTTTGGTTTTAAATTGATCACTTTTGTCAGAAAATGTTAAATGACACATTATGAAAAAATAAATCAGCCTTTGCTTCTCTTTGGGCCCGTTTATACAACACACCAATATCCGCATTCTCAGCCCGCTAAAGTTATGTGTGTAGTATAAACGCCGTCGAATTGCGTGTAATTACATTACCATCTGGCAAAGAGGCTACTTGACGAACCGGCCAAATTTGGCCGGTTCGCGACCTTGCGAAGCCTACTTGGCACCCTCAGGCTATTGTTTGACCTCTCGTAAACATAGCGAGCGGTAATTAATCAACTGGATGGGGTGGCTAACCAGACAGTTTATTCGCTGCATTTTCAAGCGTTGCTAAGTAGATTCCGAGAAATCAATAACTGATAAAAATGCTTACTGGTATCGCGGGGCGTTTGAAATATTACATAATAGATTATGATTATTTCTTTGTAATTACCGCTCTCTCAGAATGCACGGCGAAAACAAGCGCAGATTGTCATTCTTTGCTTTTATTTTGACAAGCTCGGACGTGTGTAGGCCTACAATTATGAACTGGACCGACGGTGCGACCCGTGCCTTAATAAATATTTGGGGGGAGGAGAACATCCAACAGGGGCTAGATGGAACTCGGCGAAATGCGTCCATATACGCAGAAATAGCCAAAAAATTAAAGGAATGTGGCTATGATTTCATTGATCCATTGATCTGTCCGATTTGCATCAGAAACAAAATTAACAGAAATTCGTGTTCCTCCATTCTGTTCTAATGCAAGTGGATACTATTTGTAAGAAAACAAAAACTAAAATTATACTTATAATTTCTGACAAAAAGAAGTAAACACCAAGTAGCTTCTTTTTCTTAGAAAGTAAAATAGTACACTATAACTAAACCGGACTACATTATATGGAAAACTTATTTTGATCAGAAACAATTTCGTAAAAAAAAATAAAATAAAAAATTGTGGATTACTTTCTTTTGTTAGAAAGGGGCAGAAATTGGATCAAACTGTAATAACAAGAACTTTATTATCAGCAAATTTTACGTCATATTTTAAAAATTTTCATGATTGCAAATTGGAGCATTTTTAGAGGACCATAATTTAAAAAAAAACCAACAAAAACAAAAAAAAAACTTATTTCTACTAATCCTCTGTATCTTGTATGTATCGCGCTCCTTTTAAATGAAGGTCTGGAAATTTAAATAAAAATGTCTATGGTCAGCCGATTTTTTAGGGTCAGTCGGGTTATGCCAACATAACATTTTTTTTAGGCCTAATAAAAAAAATCACCTCATTTTCAAGCTTCCACCTCCCCCTAACTTAACTTTTATACCCCATCACCCCTACCCTCCTTTTTAATTTAAGACTCCTCCTAGGCCTAGAGCCCCCACCACGCTGTGTAGTCTGCTAGGCCAGGTAGATTAATGAATCTACTTACAGGCTACCTATAGTATATATCTAGGTAACCAGCCTATACCTAGTTTAGGCTAGCCATATAGTTACAGTAGGCACAGGCCTAGGTCCAAGTAAGGTAAGGCCTGCACAGCGAATAAATATTATTCGCACAAAAGTTAGGCCTTGAAATCCGTCCACGAATTTCGATAAATTTTAGGCCCCTAATCTCAATTCTTTAGTCTGATTGTCTTTGAGCTTGGATTGATCGTCTCTTCTGTAAGTAACTTCAATTTGAACAGTAGGCTATTCTGTTGTGTAGGCATGCCTATGCCAGGAGGTGACAGACAATCGGGCTAACCCCACCAAAAGACGAGTCAGTACGTCCGTTCTCATTTGATTGGATGCAATGTGGGTGTACTATATTGTTGATCATAAGATCTACATTGCCCTAGGTTAATACAGCCACAGGTTGCAGCAGGAAATCATCCGATTTAAATCATATTATGTATTATTTATGCTGCTGAACCCCTGACTATTTCCTAACAAACTGCATAATAGGCCTAGGTATACTTAATTAGGAAAGCACAGCACACTTTCACTGGCGACGGCAAACTTAGGTGCATAGGCAACTTGTGTCGGCCGTTATCGTGACTAGTTTGAAACGTTTTCAGCAACACAATTTGTGTCAAATCGATATTTAATCAAGTTCATTAATTTTTTAAAAATATGAAAGAAAGTTTAATTTCAACTGCAAATTGAATTACTGTTTTTTGAAATGTAAATGCATATGATATATTACGATTGCAACTAAGTTGGAAATCTTTTATGGGAATTGTGATGGTATTTGTTGTACATTTCCTGATTAGTGACATTAATTATGCAAATGAGCAATTAGCATATTCACACACCTACCAAAAACAATAGGCTCCGTCTTCTTATTACCATCTTGCATTCTGCTAAGTTTGAAACCATTCGGCCCTACCAAACATTAGTTATCGTGGTAACAACAATTTGCTCAACAACAACGACGACGACAACAACGCCGACAGCATAAGAAGAACTAGGCTACTGTATCATTGTTTATAATTTAACTTGAAACGCTTTCAGCAATGCAACTTGCGTAAAATCGGATATTCAATCAAGTTCATTTAAATTTAAAGAAATATGAAAGAAAGTTTAATTTCAACTGCAAATTGAACTACTGTTTTTTGCAATGTAAACGAATATGATATATTATAATTTCAACGACGACATGGGTAAAAACAACAGCCTCTCCACAGCTTCGCTCCTTCGGGGGAGGATAATGACAGCAGCCCATTTAAGACTAACTGGCTTAGGGGCCCAAGCTGCAATTTCTAATTCCAAAATTCCAAATTTAGTGACAAATATAAAAGATGTTTAAAAATCAAAACATATTAATGAGAAATTTATGTAAATAAAATGTTTGAAACTGTGGATTACTGTATGAATGTCATTTGATGGCAAGTGCAATACTGGTTGTATCTAACTTCTATTTACCTTTTTTTCAGCTGGTTTGATTATTTTGTGGCCTGCACGACTGGAGCAAATGTAACCCTGTCTGATGAAGGTACCTTCTCCTGAATTATACTGCTCTGTACTACCAAGTCGTTCTCCTATAAAATAATAAACCAACATGACTATGATGTACTATGATGTATGTTGGCACATGGCTTGTTGAACAACTGCTTAAGTTGTGTTTCTACTGAAAATCATGATAAAAACAGTACTCATTTCATTGATTGATTATCGGATTACCAGGCTGACACTCATGACATAAAAATTACCCAGTATGCAATTTATAAAGAAGAAAATTACCTATAACGACTACCAAGACAAAAATTATTCCTCCTATCCGAATAATACCTCATGTCGACATTGAAATAAAACAAGGGTTAAATTAAAGTTTTGTTCTTTAAAAGGAACATGTTGTTGTGTGGTTGAGAACAAAGTTTTATAACAAATAAATAAAATTATAATATCGTAGGTCTACCACTGAGCAGGTGGAACATGTCTAATATTTCTGATCATTATTAAAGAGCTTTAATTAAGTACTGTACAGTATATGTCCAAAGGTAAAATCAGACCTAAATTATTGAAAAATATTTTCAAAAATCTAAAAAAAATTCTATTACTAGGCTTAGTCAGTAGCCTAATGGCTAAGTTGACCTTAGGTCAAATTAGGCCACTATTTACAGTACCTTGCAGCTAAAAACCATTCCTCATACAAAAGAACTGATCTTTTGCATTCCGTGCCAAAGTACCATTCGTTAAAGAACCTTTTCTTTTGTTGGCCCATTTCTACTGTAACAAAACACCATTGATAAAAAGAATGGTTCATAAAAACAGTTTTTTCTCATCAGTAGAAATAGGCCCTTCTGAATTTCGAGAAAGAAACGGTTCTCTTATCATTGGTTGATTATCCGATTAGTAAGAGAACCGTGTTGCAACTACATCAAACAGTGTTCTCAGTCTATATTCTGAATTCTAGTCCTATTATTTTTACAGGCTAGTTTATCTTTGAGGTCAATTTTCTCAAGACGTGGTTCTCAATCATACACCTCATATCCCTGGATCTACTTATCAAAGGGTAGCCATTCACAGACCAAATTAAAGCTTTTAATGTGATCTACCCAAATGCAATATACTATCTATAAACTTGTTTTTTATTTTCTAACCATAAGACTCATTTTGTGGTGAGACCTCACATATGTCCAAAGGTAAAATCATGCAGGAGGCCTAAATTATTGATATGAGTTTTGTTAGTTTTTAAATACAGTAAATTAAATTGTATTGTAAGATACGTATAGTAATTGTAAAATACTGTACATTTCTTATGGAATTTGGGTATAGGGAATAACCCGTCATATTAAACTATCTGCAGAGCATCGCTTGCTCTCCTCGCGGTGCAGCAAGAAGCAAGCACATGCATGAGTAGTGTGCAATTTTTTTACGGTCCATTTTGTTGCGGCGTATACACATTTGGTTTACTTATGATTAATACATGTGTTGAAATATATACTGTACACTGTAATAGACATTCACCTAGTAAGCATTGGTTTGGTCTTTGGGATTTTCCAACCGAATTTATCAGATTTAAAACATGTTCGCTCGATGGCCATGCAAAAATCAGTTATTAAATGTTAGTTAATCAAAAATAAATTTGATTAAGCTTTAATTTAAGTATTGACTGATTCCTCTTTATACTGTATTCAAAAGAATGGTATAGAAGCAGTAGCAAACATTTAAATATACTGTAATAACTGAAGAATTAATGTAATGTATTGCTACTCTGAAGAATACTGCTTTCAAGGTAAGTTTAGGTAGCCTAGGCCTTTACTTCTAAAGTACTAGGACAAATGTGCGGTCAACATCGTTTGGTAGTGCGTGCTAATTTGTTCCGGTCTCCGTAAGGCCTAACTCTCAAAGTCAAGTTGCTATTGTGATACAACTTGAATAAAATTTGACTTTGCTATAGTTGGATTTAATCTAATACCCATTTCACACTAGCAGAAAATATTACAACTTTTAACAACTATTAACAAGTTGTAACAAGTTTGATATTCCAAGATTTTTGGTTCGTTTCACACATGCACTTTCAAACCATGAGAAATCTCAGGAAAACTTGGAAGAATATTATGACTAGGCCTAGAGGCCTAGGGTAGTACTAGTAGGCCTAGGGTAGTTGTAGGTTGTCCGAATTACATATCAACTACTAAACTAGGCCTGGTACCGAATTAACAAGATTATAATTATTCCATGGTCCTTAGCCTTCGGAGAGTAAAACGAATTCAACTCCTATCTCGCTTGCTGAAGTCGAGCTGGCGAGAAAGATAGGCCTAGGCTAGCTAGGCGCAGTCGGGCCGCCGGCCGGTAGCTCACCATTGTTGTTAGAGGCAATCAGTGCGACAAGCATCATAATGATTCGCTGTCGGCATATTTTACGAAGCTTCGTGATTGTTTCTACATCAGACATGTGAAATTTAGCGAGATTTCTTTTGATTTTAGGTCT